GAGAAAGAGATCCTCTATTCGAGAGGAAATTGGAAGCTAGGCTATTAGATGTTTCATCCAAATGTTGTTGATATCCAAATGGATGGGAAAGTGATTAATAATAGAAAGAATCTGGATGGAGGAGAAGACTATCAACCTGAAAGTAAATCCTTAATAAATAAGAATGTCCATAAAGTTAAAAGATGACTGCTAGACTAGAAGAAGAAAAAGATGACACAGTTAGACACATAGATCTCAAAAAAAAAAAAAAAAAGGAGTTTTGATTTGTTTGCATTTGGGGAGAATTGTTTAAGGTTTTATCAAACCTGGATGTCATGAAATGGAGTGAGAATTAAAACAAGAGTCCCATCTATACTCCTGACGCTGACACTTTTGAGGTTAGAATAAACAGCCCCCGCTTAAGCAAGCTGCAAAGAAAATAATTCCCCTAGGGGCCTATCAGGTTCAAGTGTAGTGTGATGAAGTAGGTTTTTCTTTTCTTTTTTAAGCATTTTATTTTATGTAGTTCGATTAATTAACATATAGTATATTATTAGTCTCAGAGAAGTGTTCAGTGATTCATCAGTTGCGTATAATACCCAGTGCTCATTACATCACATTCCCTGCTCCTTAATGCCCATCATCCCATTACCCCACCCCCCCATTCCCTCCAACAACCCAGTTTCTTATGGTTTGTCTCCCTCTCTGATTTCGCCTTATTTTATTTTTCTCTCCCATCCCTTAAGATCTCTGTTTTGTTTCTTAAATTCCACATGAGTGAGATTGTATAATTGTCTTTCTCTGACTGACTTGTTTCACTTGGCATTACACCCTCTATTTCCATCCACGTTGTTGCAAATGGCAAGATTTCATTTTTTTTTAATGATTTTATTTATTTATTTGACAGAGAGAGATCACAAGTAGACAGAGAGGCAGGCAGAGAGAGGGAAGGAAGCAGACTCCCTGCTGAGCAGAGAGCCGGATGCGGAACTGGATCCCAGGACCCTGAGATCATGACCTGAGCCGAAGGCAGCGGCCTAACCCACTGAGCCACCCAGGCGTCCCAAGATTTCATTTTTTGATGGCTGAATAATATTCCCTCTTATATACGTGTGTATATATATATATATGTATATACACACACACACACACACACATACATACATACACACATATCACATCTTCTTTATCCATTCCATAGTTTTGCCATTGTGGACATTGCTGCTATAAATATTGGGGTACAATTGCCCCTTTGGATCACTACATTTGTATCTTTAGAGTAAATACCTAGTAGTGCAATTGCTGGGCAGTAGGGTGGCTCTGTTTTTAACTTTTTGAGGAAACTCCAAACTGTTTTCCAGAGTGGCTGCATTAGCTTGCATTCCCACCAGAAGTGTAAAACAGTTCTCCTTTCTCCACATCCCCATCAAAAGCAGTTTTTTCTTGATAAGGTAGGACATGCAGGTCTAGAGCTTCTACCTTCTAAATACATACTTGGGAAACACAGCTTAGAAAACATGATTATAAGATTCTTGAGGCAGAAGTGTGGAAAACAAACAGCTTACCCCTACTGAGCAAGCCAAAAGAATCTCATCAACTCATTATTAGGAGCATAATGATTGTGAAAATTTGTCAAATTAACTTAGTAATAATATCTAATAATGGTGGCAATGATGTAGGAAAAATGTTAGGGTTCAAAGTTGATGGCCAAGAAAGAATTCTTGAGACATTTTTGGTACAAAAAATGGTTTTATTAAAGCACAAGGACAGGACCCTTGGGAAGAAAGAACTGCACTGGAGTCATAAGGAGTGTTGCATTATATACTTTCAAGTTGGGATGGGGTTAGGGATAGCATAAGTCTCTAAGGAATTTTGGAAGCAAGGTTTTCAGGACCTTAAGGGGGCTAACTATTGTTGGGAAAATGTCATTTATCACTGTCTAATAAAACCTGAGTCACGAGACCCGTCAGATATATACTGGAGGGTCATATGCTTGGGGGATGATTGTCAACATATATCTTGCAGGGCAGAGATAAAGGAAGTCTCCAAGGGAATTTTTATATTTTAAAGTTACAGGATTCTGGGGGGTCAGGCTAGGGTTGTCTTTTGTCCTTAGCAAAGTATTAATATTGAGGCAGTTGTGTTTCTAGAGGAATGTGACTCTTCCTGTTTCAAGGACTCATTAATGGGCTACAAGTAGTAAAGAAATATAATAATTTTCTTCTGCCTTTGTTTCCCATATTAGCAATATATTTGCTCCAGAACAACAACAAATGATTGCCCAGCTCAGAAGATAAATCCAACATCATTGGTTTCCCTTCTATTTGTCTCTTGTTTCTATTATTGGTTAGCACAGCATCTTGTGTTCATTACACATTATACAAAGCAGTGTATGTCAAGTATATTATTTAAATTTTAAAATATTTAATATTAAATTTGTTAAATGTTTATTTTTTTTTACACATGCTCTTCGCCAAAAGGCCGAGAAGTGATTCTTATGTTTTTTTTTTAAAGATTTTATTTATTCACTTGACAGACAGAGATCACAAGTAGGCAGAGAGGCAGGCGGAGGGAGAGAGTGGGAAGCAGGCTTCCAGCTGAGCAGAGAGCCCGATGTTGGGCTGGATCCCAAGACCCTGAGATGAAGGCAGAGGCTTAACCCACTGAGCCATCCAGGTGCCCCTCTTACGTTTTAATATACTGAAAGATGCATAGATTTTCCTGGGTGAAAAGGGATGCATAAGTTGGATTGCCCCAAAAGAAAGTTCTATACGTTTGAACATTCATTTGTAATACCATCAAAAAGTGTGGAAAAGAGAAGATAATAATCTACACATTGTTTTTTTATTTATTATTATTACATTCAGTTAGCCACTATATAGTTTATTAAAAAGAAATCAAGTGAATCTTTGACGCTATGAAGTCCTTGTTAATTTTTAGGTAAGCTAATGGTATTGGGTTGTATTGAAGGGGTTGTATTTTTGGAGAACTTATTCAGAGATTTATGTTGATATAATTATGGATAAAAAATTATGATGTCTGGACTTTTAAGCTAATCCAAAGTGAGAGGGCAAGCATAGATAAAACAAGATTGGCTACATGTTGACAATAGTTGAGGCAGTATGATTGAGGCAGAGTGATGAGTACAGAGGAGTTTGTTATACTTTCTTTTTATTTTTGTATATGTTTGAAATCTTTCATAACAAGTGTATAATTTAAACAAACAAAATATATGTAACAAGGCCTTTTCTGTGAATCATGGATGAAACATGCAGCCCCTGACATGGTTTGCATAGAACCAGTATTAGTTTAGTTCAATTTTACCCTTCTGTGTCTCATGCCTTGGAATATACACTTAGAGTCTCTTAATAAATATACATGATTTCTTTCCCCTTTCCTCATTTTTTAATTATTTTTTCTTGGTGTGTTGTGGAAATCTTTTTTTTTTCTTTTTCTTTTAATTATTATGTTCATTTAGCCAACATTTAGTACATCATTTGTTTTTGTTTTTTTTTTAAATGATTACTGTGTCACCCATACATTCTCAGACTTTACAGAATTAAGAGGCGATTAGGAGTATTTGTGTGTGTTTTTTTTTTAAGATTTTATTTATTTATTCGACAGAGAGAGATCACAGGCAGAGAGGCAGGCAGAGAGAGAGAGAGAGGAGGAAGCAGGCTCCCCACCAAGGAAAGAGCCCGATGCGGGGCTCGATCCCAAGACCCTGGGATCATGACCTGAGCCTAAGGCAGAGGCTTTAACCCTCTGAGCCACCCAGGCGCCCCACGTCATTTGTTTTTGATATAGTGTTCAACAATTCATTAGTTCACCATTTCCAAACAAGATAGGGTTATAAAATAAACGTTCTATGGTGTAGCAAAAGTTTCCAAACCCCCTTTGAGAAAGAAGGTCCCGCACCTCTTGATTCATCCCCAAGCTTGATTGTTGCGCACAGTATTTCCAAATATGCATGATTTTTCCTTTGGCCTTTGTATCTCAAGTCACCAGAGTGGGAGAGAAATCCAAAGTGAGGTTGTAATAGCTCCAACCCATTCTTTTCTAAAGAGCCATGCCCCACGTCCCGTCCCTAAGCAATGCTCAGATCTGACGGCTGCAGACTGATAATTGCCCCTAACAAGCTCTACCGGGGCAGTTAGGCAAGGGGATAGAGAAAGCAACTGGAGGTGAAAACCTGAGTTTGCTGCCTTCCTCTCTTCCACTCCCCTCCTCTCCCTCCTCTCCCCACCCCTCTAAAACCCTTAGCTGCAATCCCCCCTTCCTCTTCTCTCCCTCTTTTCATGCTCTCGCATCAGATCCCCCTCCTCACGGATCCCCTCGTCTAGCCCCCTCCCTACTCCCACAGCTGTGGATAAGACGCACGCAGCAGCTGCGGTTGTGAGCTAAGCACTGGCTGCCGCGGGTCTCCTCTGCATCAACCCGCCCACGCCCGCCCGGTCTGGATGGCGAAGTCGCGCACCGGCCTTGGGATGAGGGCGGGGGAGAGGGTGGAGTGGCTGGGAGATGGGAGGGTGGAGTGGGAAGGACGCAAAAACAGCATCTAGGCGGCAGGCGGGGCTCCACTGCGCATCTGGCCAGGAGTGGTCTCTGGGTCAGTGGCTGGGCAGCCACCCCAGAGACGCGTTTCTAGTGGGAATTCAGTGGGGCCCATTCACCGCCGAACCGTGGCGGCCTGTAGCATCAGCTGGTGAGGGCAGACACCAGCCTAGCAACACCGCCTAAGCAACCAGAACTCTTCGGAAAGCCGGAGGGATCTGGGAAGAAAAAGAAGCCCAGGAGGAGAAAAGGGCTCCAGGGAGTTCTGCTTCTCAGGGTTCCCTCAGGTACTGTTGGAGACCCGTCACGTGGTAGCAAGTAAGTGCCTTTTCTTGCTGTGTGCCCAGCCCCAGAATGGTGAGAGCCACCGTTTGCTGCCAGCCTTTCCCACCCACCCCCAGCCTGCCCCACCCCATACACACCCTTAAGGTCTTTAGCAGTAGATTTAAGATTCTGGACCTGAATTAAGAGAGCTACTGCAAAAGCAGCATTGGTCTGCGGATGTTTACTCTGCACTGTGCCTGTGGTCAGTTTTCTCATCCCACCAGGTAAGCTTCTGAAGTCACGATGCTTTACACTAAGAGCAGAATGTAGAGTTTCTAATTTCTGGAAACCCTGTATGGCAATGACTTTAAGGTTACATGACACAATGATAGAATATAGGGGATAAAAGCTTAGGCAGAATGGAGTATACTTTGAAGGAATCTTGTGTCTTATTTTAAATAAAAAAAAAAGAGGCATAGATATGATGGAAAATGGTGTGCCCAGTTTAAATGGCTGGGCATTTTGGTACTGTTTGGATCAACAGGTTTGTTTTTGTTTTTGTCTTGTTTAGCCTGTAAACTGCATACCTTCTGGAAGTTTTCTTCTAGCAGTGATGAGGTATTCATTGTGACTCTGGTTACATGTTGCCTCTATTACTTAGGATATTGGTCAAAGCAAGACAAATGATAAAAATATGTGGAATGACACACTGATATGCTCCCTTTATTAGTGGAAATGATGGAGTCAAATTTGGGTATTGGTCAGAAAATTCTCTTGAAATGAGAAGTTTGGGTGGTATTTTGTAGATACTTTTCTTCCTAGCTATTGTTCAGCAGAGTGGTTTATGGCAAAATAGAAGGAATCTGGGCCCTATAATAAACAGAGTCTTGTGCACCACCATACTTGCTATTTTCCAGCTCTAATTAAAGTTTCTAAAATCCAGCCACTAATTTTACAAATCAAGAAGATAAGTCCCATAAGTAATTTTTTAAGGTTACTTAGCTAATCAATGATGAGCTAAAAGTCCAATGAAGACTTGAGATTTAGAATGATAATTTTTTTTCATTTTTTAAAAATGAAATGAATCATTTAGCTTTTGATTAAGCTTTATTCTTCTTATTTGTAAATGACACATCAAAAGCTTACATATCCTGGTAAGGACTGAATAACACAGATTACATGAAGGGTTTTGTGAATGTAATATGTGTAACTGTTGCTTATATAAGGAATTATTTCATGTTTTTATCCACTTCACTATTCTAGTTCTCATTTCACATCTCTATAAAAACAAAAGGGGCTTTGACAGCCTCAGTATAATGCACTAAAGGAAAAGAAATTCAAATCCAGGTTCCGATCTCTTGGCATCTATACAGTTTAAAGTATATTCTAACCTGTGAGACTCCATCTTCACAAAATTGTGTGCCATGGTTAACAATTCATATTTAAATACTTTTGAATATTCTCAAAATAAGCTCTACCCTCTTCCTCTTTTTAGCTTTAAATTTTATTTTAGAGTTATGGTCTTACTTTCTTGGGACCTTAAGTATATTAGATATTGCTAAATTTATTTGGCCCATTAATTTATGTAGGAGAAGTGAAAGTTTATGTATACCATAGTCTACTCTTAACTGCTGGGATTCATTATAATCCTGGACTCAAGAAAGAGGTACTGTGAACCCCTTCTTTCCAATGATGTGTTTGAAAACAGTAGGAGAAAAACCTGAAATTGGATGTAAGTTCAAGAAAAGGGACTTATAGACCACTGATGACATAGGCCCCAAGACCTGCTGTTACTTATCAGTCTCCACTAAGGAGCAGAAGGTAGAGCCAAACACCTAGGAACTGGGCATTCTGTCTCATAGCCTCCTGTGGGAGAGGCTCTGGTAGGGTAGCTGATATACACTCCCACTAATTTTGCCCAGGCAAGATGAATATAGCTTTAAAGCACTCTGGGAATGAAACATCAGTGTTTTGCTCAATACCTTACTTAGGGAAGAAGTATCCTAATACTTCTCAGTCCTAGATCTCTGTACCACAATGGGGCTACTCAGAGACTGACTGAAAACCCTATACCTAGCATCATCGACCCTCTCTTGAAAGCTTATGGTGGGGGCATTAGTATAAAAACTTCATTTTGGGGACTCTGGTCCTACTATTTTCAGTAACCAGTATCAATTTGGTCAGCTGTTGGAGGATATCTGTAAGTGCCACCCATACTGACTAGCTATTAGCAATGTAGTCGTCCACTATCATATGAACTTGTACAGATCTCATTTTTCCCGGAGTTGGCCCCTTTCTCTTCTATTAGTGTGAGCTGAATAAGACCAGGCAAGTAAGTCGTCACCTCCGCAATGCTAAAGGAGGAAACCTTTAAGGCTGAGGAGAAAGTTTTCATTTGAGGGCTTCTAGGGATGTTTTTCAGCTGGTCTGTATCTCTTGGCCCAGCTGTGATCATGATTTCTGTAGATTTGTTCATTCATTGTTATTTATAAATCAGACTCACTCTAGTTATACTCCATGCCAGTGGGAGATCCCTCCTTCATCTGGCAAATAGTTATCCCTCGTATATACACAGTATTCTGGACTGAAGTGACTCAGCTTATTGCTAGCTGAGGATAACTACTCTGTGGACAGTTGTGGACACCACAATCATTGTGGTGGCAGGCAGGTGCCGGACTGACTATTTGAACATCAAACAAAAGGTTAACCAAAATGCTGAAGCTAGCACCCTCACCGACACCACCCCCACAACCCTGGCCAGAGAAATTATGACTTTAAAAGTCTGAGATTAGGACAGAGCATTTGGTTTTAAACTAGAACCAAAGGATGCTGATTTGGGGGCCACAGTACCTGGTTGAACATATGGGGCTGAGTGGAATATTTCTTCCCTTCTACTTCAAATGCCAGAGTGATGCAATTGATCCACCAGTCTTTAATTCTCTGAGTTCTCCCAGAGTTTGCAGGGTCCAAGCACCTGAATACAGGCTATAACTTTGGTTCTGGTCCATATCTAGTCTCACCCTAACATGTTTCAAAGTCGTTCTCCAATTTGAGAAGGAGTTGAATATCTATGTGTTTGGTTCTACATTTGAAAAACTAGAGTAGTTTTGGGGTGAGAGTAGATCCTGGAAATGCAGACCAACTCTTTCAGAGTGATCAGAAGCAGAGGCAAGTAGCTATTTCTAAGAGGCCTCCAGGATTCCAGTAAATGTGCCAGTTTTGGAATTTTTTAAAAAATTTTGTATTCCATAGATCTGATTGTATCTAAAAGGATATGCAAAAAGGCTTCAGGATTGATGATGGGTATAGAAGTTACATGTATAACAATCTCTCCTTTGTATTATTCTAGCAGGGGCAAAAATTCATTCCTCCTTCCTGAGTTCTTAAATGGACTCTGGCCAGGTTCTTCTGGTCAAGGGTCTGACTGACTAGGGTCACAAGAACAGTTAGTTCTGTAAAGATTCTGGCTTTTCCCCAATATGCTTGTTTTGGTGGGCTGGACAGGCACAGCTTGGAAGTTGTTATTGTATCCATAGAAATAAGGGAACCATGCTAGTGAACCATGAGGTTGCTATAGAGAAGTGGGCTTAGTTAAAAATGAGGCAGCTTTCCTTCATGTTCCTGGAAGCATTCCCTGCCTGCATTGGTGGTCATAATGGCTCCCTTCTGAGACTCCATCTTACACAGTGACTTACTGTCTTGCATCCACTCAGGGGCTTTCAAATATCCACTGAGCTTTCCATGGGCTAATTCTGGTAAGTATATTTGAGACCAGTTGTTAAGATTTTGTCACATGATACTTTTGTCCAGATTTCTTCTCTTCAGTATAAGTTGTACCACTCTGAATGTGTATGACCTGCACTCCTCCTCCCTGGCAAGAAGATACTTGTAAAGATCTCAGCTCCTGATTATTTTAATGAACCATTACTAGAATCCAAGTTTACTAAGTTGGCAGGGGAATTCAGTTTTCAGAAGGGATCTTTTTATTTAAGGGACAGTTGGACTTGTCTGTTGGGATTTTTGGTGGTACTCATTTATTTACAAGGGTGTTTTACTAGTTTTTTAATCCAGAGGAATTCCTGGATTATAATTCTTACAGAATATAATCAAAACAAAATGGCAATGCCTACGTATGTTTTTGAGAAAGTTACTTATTTACAATTTTCCTCTGCAGGATGATGTATTCTAGGAATACTTGGCTGAAATTGTCAGAATATATGAAATATATGAAAATGTCATATATAAATATATGGTAAATTATGTTCAAGTAGTATAGAAATATTAGCCAGAAGGTGACAAAATTCCCTGACAGTTTTTCCATCCCTCTCCATAGATGTAGCAACTTCCTTCCTTCCAGAGGGGCATCATTATGCATGAACTAGCATATTTAACACTATGTATGTAGTTCTTATAAAATACTTTAGTCATAGGTAAACAGTGCAACCCAATTTCAACATTAGGTTTTCACTAATTTACTTTGGGAATCTTTCCATATGAGCATAGACATATGTGTCTCATTTTTCAGTATTACTAAATAGCATTCCGTGATAGCAAGATTTTGAAATTTATGGTATCAGTTCCTTAGGGTAGACTATTTGATTATTTCTAGTCTTTGGAACTGAAAGTGTGGTGTGATTAACATCTTGGCAAACATACTTTCTCAAACTTCAACAAGAATATTTATAGGAGAACTTAATTGAGGGTCAATGAGTACATGCAACTTTAATTTAGAAACTATTTCCAAACAGAAAAAATAATGTGCTTATTTACCCTTCTAGCTGAACTGTGTGAGGGTGCCCGTTGCTTCCATATCAAGGTTGCATCCATTGAGAAGAGTTTCAGTGATGTGTTCTAGAACTTTGTGGTAAAAATGATTGACTATTTTAATCTTATCCATATATGTCAAAATTTCATGAGCTTCAGTCACCTTTCTTCATAGCTTTCTACTTCCTAAAAGACAGTGATATTATTTTTGTATCCTCCATAAGAAAAAAAATCAATGCCTCTCATATCATTTGAGTCCTAAATTCTGGAGAAAAAAAAGGGAGAGAGAGCTCTAAAGGAAAAGGCTCTACACCAGAGAATTTAGCTGTGAGTCATCACAGAATGTGGGAAAGATGAAATGTAAGCCATAATATATATAGGAATTGCATTTAAGTGGTCTCAATGAACAAAAATGTCAATCTAAATTGGTCACTTCACTAAAGCTGGTATGCTTCCTACATTCTCAACACTATAGATTCAGTTTAATGATCACATTAGCTCTGTGCATATAATACCTTCA